GGGCTCCCTCCCAGATATGCCTGAGAATAAGTTTTTTTTTTTAGTTATTCTCCTCCATGAAACTTTATTCTGTGTACGTAAACTCCTTGCGCGCTACTGGATGCAGACAACCGTTCCTGCTTTATAACTATGGTTATCGGAGGTCAACTCTACTCTACCATACAAGAAGCTTATTCATGCTCACAGAGGATGCCCCTCGAAATACAACAAAATTTGAGACAGGTGGCTTGCCTCCTTGGCTACTTAGCTGGCCCATTGTGCAATATATTGTGAGGGTCTTGCCCTCAATTCACTATCTTGCTTGATGTTCTTTTATTGTGACTGTGTGACCCTACCTAGGGTTCTGATCCTGCATTGTGGTGTTTTTTTTCCTGTTGCAATGCCATCGCACCCAAGCCTGTATCTATACGTTGTTGCCTTATAATTTTGTTCTCCGTGTACCATGCACTATATATGTTGATTATTATGCCCCGACCTGGGGGCTTTGATTTGGTTTCTGTCTTTATCTTGTTTTCTTTTCCCTCATTACTTATCCCTCTTTTTCTTTTATTCTTATTTTTTGCATCATTGTCTGTTGCTTGAATGTTATATACTGTTTTCCTGTTCAATTTGTTCTAATAAAGTTGCTTTTCAAAGTAAAAAATTAAAAAACAACGTGGTGATCACGATCAGAACACTTCAGAAATCCACTCTGACCCAGACCAGGTAGCTGGAATATTTGAACCTGACTATTGAAATGGTGCTGGTCAAGGTGCTCCTCTCAATGGACAAGCATTGGAAGCTTCAGTCAGCAATTCGACTAGTGCGGTCCCACAGGTGTGTCCTCCCTCCGCTATTGCATGCAGGTGCTAGGTCTAATTGTATCTACCTTCCAGGCAGTCCCGTACGCATACGAGGATCCTTCAGAAGGAAAGTTGTGTATAAGTGGGACTTCTTGGATGCCCAGATCCACCTGGGTCAGAAGACAAGGCTATTGCTGATTTGGCATCTTTGGTCTCCTGTCCTTCAGGAGGGGAAATTTTCTCCCCTTACATTAGACGGTGGTCAAGATGGACACTGGCCTGTTCAGCTAAGGGGTGTTCTGGGGTTGAGCTTGGCCCAGGGTCGGTGGACGCTTGAGCAGTCCTGATTGCCGATCAATGTCCTGGAACTTTGGCTGATCAGGCTATGCCTGGAGCAGTGGACAGAGCATCTTCGGAGGTGGGTACCAGATTCAGTTGGACAATGCCATAATGGGGGCCTATGTCAACCACCAAGGTGAAGCAAAGAGTGTAGCAGCTGCGCTGGAGGCTTCCTGCATTCTCTGGTGGACTGCACACCACGTGCCGGCACTCTCCGCCGTGCACATTCCAGGCGTGGGCAATTGGCAGGTGGACTACCTCAGAAAATGGATCAAGGAGAGTGGTCTCTGCATTTGGATGGACTTCGTACGGAGGGGCACTCCAGACATGGACCTTCTAGCGTCAACCTTCAACAGTAATGGGCCATCATTCATGGCCAGGGGCGAGGGGTCCCCTTAGCAGATGCAACAGACACCTTGGTGGCTTTGCGGAGCCAGTATTGTCGCCTTATGTGTTTCATGCTCCTACCCCCGCTTACTGCTCTGGGAGTCCAAAGGGATTCTGGTGGCTCCAGATTGGACCCGCTGGTATGCCAACATGGTGCGGCAGGTCGCGGACATTCCTGAGCAGATTTCCTGTCTCCAGGGCTGATTTTCCACCATGCTTTACTATCTATGACTTTGACGGCTTGGCTATTGAAAGCCAGGTTGGTGATCCCTACCATAGTGAAAGCGGAAAAGTCTGCTTCTAGGAAGATTTACCGTTTTACTTGGAAGGCATACACATCGTGGTGCAAGACTGCAGGTGCCCATCCGTGTTCCTTTTCGGTGGCTAGAATTTTGTCCTTTACTTCAACGTTATGTTGAGAGAAAAAAAACTAGCTTTAACTGCCTCCCGCCCGCCATATAGTAAAATGACGGACTCAAGGCGGTTCTTTCGTTCTGGGAGGATGTCATATGATGTCCTCCCATTCTAACTGCGCATGTGCGGCTCCCGGAGCTCCCTAGGACACAGCGGATCACCGATCCACGGACAGAGCCGAAGATGTCGGCTCGGTCATGTGATCAGCTGTGTCCAATCACAGCTGATCACATGTAAACAGGGAAATGCCGGTTATCGGTATAGATCTGAATATTGATCAATCCTGAAGTACTGACAGCCAATCTAATTTCTTGAGGTCCAAGAATGTCAGAACAGTACAGATATCCCCCAAATTACCCCTTTTTGCAAAGTAGACAGTCCGACGTACTTCATAAGAGGCATGGCGAGTTTTTTGAAGTTGTGGTTTTTTTTTGTTTTTTTTTGTCATAATTTTTCAGAAAATGAAAAAATGAAAAAGTTAGTTTCACTATTTTTTTTTTACATATTGTCACCAGTGCAGTACAGCGTCATCATATAACTGGCATGGCGGTGATCAGGGACACTGACTGGTGACAGTATGGAAAAAAAAATATTTTTTTTTTTTATAAATTTTTTTTTTTTTTAAGATTTTGTTTTCATATTTCACTATGACCAAAGTAGTACAATGTTATCATAGTAACATTTGTACTACTTTGGGGAAGTGATCAATAATTTTTATTTTTTTTTACACAATTTGCTTATAGCAAAGAATTACTTTGCTATAAGCAAGCATTTACCTGAATAACATTGATTCATTCAGGGTTTGTTTTTTTTTTTTTTTTTTTTTTTTTTTTGTGCTTAGCTGTGATTTGGCCACAGCTAATCACATGACATGTGTATGTGATTAGCTGTGACCATTCACAGCTAGACACTAGTATACAATGGATGGCATGAATTAAGCCATCCATTGTATACAACTGTCATGTGACCTGCTGTGATTGGTCACAGCAGGTCACATGGTACCGGCAATGGGGCCGATACTCAGATCTGTCATCGGCCGTGTCCGAGGTACACGGCCGGTGACAGATCGCGCCGATCTGCAGGAGCGCAATCTGCACATGTGCGGGAGGATGCCATATGGCATCCACTCGGAACGCTGATGACATTTGCTGCCCGCCATTCGGCCATAGGGCGGGCAGCAAATGGTTAAAATCACATTGTTGAGTGTAAATCTGACTTTCCAATGTATTTATAAAAAGTGTTAACCTATTGCTGTTGCAGACAGCCAAATCTCTCCTATTTCTGTCTTAAGATCTACAGTAGAAGCAAATGCTTTTAAGAGGTTGTATGCGCCATACCTGCACCCTTCCGCAAAGCAGTGGTCCCCACTGTACACATGCAGTTTCTTTTGTTATTGTGTGCACTGGGTTTAGTAAAGCTGAAATGCCATAGGTGGCGCACTGAGAAGAGGAGGGGCCAGGAGTGCCTGCAGGGGACCCCAGAAGAGGAGTTTTGAAGCCACTCAGTGACTTTGTATGTCTTTTCTGCAATAAAAGCTTTTTTTGTAACTGCCAGAAATGTGCTCTTCTTGTTTGCTTCCCCTCCCCCTTCACTGCCATATTTAGCACTTTTTTGGGGGGAGCGAATTTCTGGTTTTGATATGTACTCACTACCACTTCCGTCTCAGTTCGCAGCGGTGAAGTGAGCCGGATGTTCAGCCCTCTTCCTTCCTTCCGCAGTCTTCTGTGACACTTCTCAGGTCTCAGAAGACTGCCAAATTAGGATGCCCAGCACGACTCGAACATGCGCAGTGGGCACCCGGCTGTGAAGCAGCAAGCTGTCACAGCCTGGTGCCCACAGTTGATATGCCAGCGCTGGGGAGAGAAGAGGGAGTGAAGGGATGGCGCGGGTAAGCACATCACTGGACCCTGGGACAGGTGAGTGTATGTTTATTAAAAGTCAACAGCTACAGTTTTTGTAGCAGTTTTTGGTTATGCCACAATGCTGAAATACAGTATGCTGGACGTACATTTGCAAAAACAAAGTGGCATAAAGTGTAACTTTGCTTTTGTTGAGGGGAAAAACATTCCCCTCTGGGTGATCTATATACATTTCAAGGATCTTGATAAACTTTGTTGCAAATTCCTACCTTTTGCTATTCTGAAGAAGTGGCTGTTTGTGTCCATGTGCTGAGTAAATCTGTATGGGAGTGGTTTCATAATTTTCAATCAGCTGCTGTACCTGCAGGGCTCAGAGAAAGTGGCAGGGTCTGCTTCCCTTTTTAGACATGATTTCCCTTTTGGGAGTATGTCACCAAAGATGACATTGTTGTTGCAGGGGATGCTCAAAATCTGACGTCTTCTGATATCTTGGTGCAGACTTCTGGGAAAATCAGTGATCCAATCACACAAACCGGAAATGACATGTCTGGGGGGGGACGTTCTGTATATAGTTTATGTACAAACCTCTAGGTTGCCATGTTGCGTTGCATTTTGCAGAATATTACAGTGCTGCAGATTGAAAAGGAAATGTAACTTTTAATAACATTCAATAGCAATGTGGCTTGTGCTGCAATTGTATGTGTTCTATTATTTTTCACTTTTTTTTTCCCCCACGAAAGTTGGAGTTACTTTTTAAAAAAAAAATATTGTTGCAGATTGCTACCAGTTTCCGATTTAACCACTAGCCTACAGAGCACTTATACCCCCTTCCTGCCCAGGCCAATTTTCAGCTTTCAGCACTGTCACACTTTGAATGACAATTGCGCGATCATGCAACACTGTACCCATATGAAATTTTTATCATTTTTTTGAGACAGCTTTCTTTTGGTGGTATTTAATCACCTCCTGAGTTTTTTTTATTTTTTGCTAAACAAACCAAAAACCACTAAAAAAAAAAAAAAAAACCCCGTTTTTCTTAGTTTTTGTTATAACATTTTGTAAATAAGTGATTTTTTCTCCTTCACTGATGTGCGCTAATGAGGCTGCAGTGATGGGCACTGATAGGCTGCACTGTTGGACGCTAATAGGTGGCACTGATGAGGACGCACTGGTAGGTGGCATTGACAGGCATCACTGATGGGCACTGATAGGCGGCACAACTCATGGCACTGATAGGCGGCACTGACTGGCACTGATAGGCGGCACTGGCAGCACTGATAGGTGGCACTGACTGGCATTGATAGGTGGCACTGAAAGGCAGCTCAGATGGGCACTGATATGTGGCATTGATGTGGCACTGATGGGCACTGACAGGTGGCATGGATGAGCACTGACAGCTGTCACTGATGTACAGTGACAGGTGGCACTGCTAAGGCTACACTGATCATCAGGGCACACTGATCATCAGTGCCCTGATGATCAGTGTAGATGTCCCGTCTGAGGAATGCCGATTACCGGCTCTCCTCTCCTCTCGAGCTGTCAGCGAGAGAAATGCTGATAACCGACATTTCCCTATTTTACATGTGATCAGCTGTGATTGAACACAGCTGATCACATGACTGAGCCAATATCTTCGGCTCTTTCCATTGATCGGTGATCCGCTGTGTCCGTGGGGCACAGTGCACCACCGACACGTTGGATCGGTGATCTGCTGGCGCACCACTGACGCAGTGAACCACCGATCACCGTGCTGCGCATTCCCGGAGCCGTGCATGCACGGTTAGAATGGGAGGACGTCCTCCCAGAACAAGAGAAACGCCTTGCGCCCGTCATTACCTTATATGGTGGGCGGGAGGTGGTTAAACAGATACCGGTTTGTAGTGTGCAGAATGAATTTGAATGGGAGTGACATTTTCATTAATAATCAGCTGATGAACTTGCAGTGTTAATGCTTCCCTTTACAAGTAATTAACCCTTTGAGAGTATTTCATCAAAAATTGTTTTTGTTGCATCGTAAGCCTAATATCTAACTTGTATCTTGGTGCAGAGTTCTGTGAAAATCAGTGACATCTGGAGAAGTTCTGTACAAGAGCTGTGTACAGAAAGCCTCCAGGTTGCCAAATTGCTTTGAACAGTTGCCCTGCTGCATTGTGAGCACAAGAAGTCGCTCGCTTGGCATGGGCACCATTCAGAGAACTCTCTTCATTTTCTCAATTAATGCAGGGTGCTCTCTGATTCCACGGGGTGGAGATTGGGAAATCATTGCCCTCCCTCTCCACCTCATCCAATCAGAGAACGCTTTGGCACCTTTCAGAGAACTCTCCATTTTCTCAGTGGATACAAAGTGTTCTCTGATTGGATGAGGTGGAGGGGGAGGGCAATGATTTCACAATCTCCACCCCGTCCAATCAGAGAGCACCCTGCATTAATTGAGAAAATGAAGAGAGTTCTCTGAAAGGTGCTAATGTCGAGTGAGCGACCTCCTGTGTTAAGAATTCATCAGGGCAGCCACTCTGCACGGGACCTATAAAATAGTGGAGATCACTGTAATAGTAGTGCCTACTAAAGTGATCTTCGACTTTCCCCAGTATCCCACAGGTATGACACATGAATACTTAGGGCTCATGTACACTGCAGCTGCTAAACTCACGTTTAGGAGCTGTTCAGCATGTTTTTCAGTAGTAGCCCCTGAACTCACCCTAATGTTCATGTACACATCTTCATTTACAGGCAGTTGAGTTTAGTCGTTTTTTTTAACGGAACAAACTTGCGTTCAGATGTTGATTTTATCAGCGTTTCAAACGTAAAATGCTTCTAAACGCGGCAAATCGTGTTTAGAAGTGTTTTGTGTTTGAACATTTTTTTTTTTTAAACTCTTCCAGATCCCAATGCTGCCCAGAGCCTTTTTTCATCATGAAAAATGAATGCAAAGAGTTTTCAAGGTGCTCAGATGGACAAAACACTTACCACAGGATGTTCCTTCCAAGCTTGTCACACATCAAAATGGCCAATTTACACCTCAGACCTCTCCCACCTTTGGAACAAAAGATATGTTCATGCCCATTCACACCTCAAATTCCTCAGGAAGACCCCCTGCCAGGTGGCCTTAATGACTCACTCCACCAGACACCTTTCCCACTGTTGGAAACAAAAGAAATGTTAATGAGCAACTCGCACCTAACTATCTCAACATGTACTGCTGTCTCTGCTTCTACTCTCTGTATTTCTATGAAACAGTCTGAAATAGTTAATAATTTACCACTTTTCAATGCATTCTGGGCATTTGGGAGGGTCTTCTGTGCTTATCATTAAAAAGCGCTTCTAAACGCAAACACGCATAAATGCATTATGCAAACGCGGCTAAACAGGCATTTTTTAACCTCGTTTTCCAGCAATCAGTTTCCATCGTTTAGAAAAGTCCTGTGTACATGGGAGCTTACACTGGTCCAAGCTAGGCCAATGTAACTATGTGAAAGTTGACCCTACCTAAACTTGAGCTTTATAAATGGAGAATTCTTACCCCTCACACTTTACTTTTGGTTCTTCTAATCAAAAGCAGTCAAATGTGTTCTTTTTTTTTTTTTTCCTCTCCATTTCTTTTGTGACGTTTTATCTGAGGAGGGGAAAGGCACTAGCAAGACCTCTGTCATAACAAAGTGTTTTATGTTTAACTATTTGCTCTGGAATTTAGAAAAAATTATCAGTAGACCTCTCCAGTTTAAACAAAGTGATCTCTCCTGATTAGACCTCTCCTGATTAAACAAGGTGACTAATTTCAGTTTCTTCCTTCAAATAACTGAATGAATAAGGGAATCGGTTACCAGTTCTTTGTACACCGTTGCAAATACTTTGATTAGGCCTGTTTTAACCTCCGCCTTAATGTCTAAGACCATTATAAAATGAGCTAAACTCTTAAAAGATAACTTCACATTTTACAAAAAATAATAAATGCACATGTTTTTGTAGGTAAAAAAAGTTTTGTTTTGTTCTCACAATCAGTGGATCATAGGTGCATTTTCAGGCTCTTGCTTGCTACAGCTTTCAGCCTGTACCGGCTTTCTGTTTGTAAACTGTGGGAAGTGTCATTGAACTACAAGAACGCTCACTAGCGCCCTCACAAGTCAGTGAGATCTGCAAGCCATCTGCCACGGTGGTTGACGGGACTTGTAAATTTGTTTCAAATCTTATTTTCCCCATGTAAATGAGGGCAACCCTGGCCCCTGGTTTTGGGGGGGTGACTTATCAGAATTTAGAAGCCCTCTTTAACAAGTCACTCCGATGACATTTGGCCTGGTACCTCTTCCCTCAGAGATGGTCTTCCGTTTGCCCATAGCAATGCATTGCTGTCCGTTTTTCATCTGTCAACGGATGGGTGAGAAACAGACAGGCAGGTGGCCCATGTGAAAGGACCGTAAGCGTACTTGAAAAATCTCCTTTCATGTTATGAGTGCTGCCTGTCAGCTGGACATCCTTCCACATTTTTCTGGATTTTCTGCATGTTTTGCAGCTTCTCCTCTGCTGTTTACCTTCAGTTTCTAGAAACTGCATATAATTACATGCTGCCTACAAGCCATGATTCCTGTCCTGACTCCGCCTCCTGAAACTCCTCATCTCAGCACCTCTGTAGTTCAGAATGTGGGCCCTCTCAGTTCTGTGACACAGTAGTGTCTAGCAACAAGGCCTAATGAATATGTCACAGAATTCCAGTAAGTAAATATGTGGGGATCTTCACAAAATAACTTTACAAATGTCAAGATAGTGCAGATTAATAATTTCTGAAATACATTGTGGAAATTAATATATCATGCTAACCTTGAAGTTGTTGTGTTTTTTTTCTTTCTTTAAATTCTGTGTTTGTTGTAAGAAGTATTAAATACTATTATGATGTCTTTTATTTAGATTCGTTACAAGGAAGACTTTGAAAAGAATAAGGGCAAGGGATTCAGTGTGGTAGCTGATACACCTGAACTTCAGAGAATTAAGAAGACACAAGATCAAATCAGTAATGTAAGTGTTTTTCATCCCACTAAAAATAGTGAAAGTAAACGAAGAGATCAGTTGTTTTGAAAACTAGATTATCCTACCCAACATCCTTTTAGAGCTAGTTTGCAACTCCCTATATTTTTTTTTCCCCTCCACGGACCGTGGTGACCGGGCACATCCCCTCCACGGACCGTGGTGACCGGGCACATCCCCTCCACGGACCGTGGTGACCGGGCACATCCCCTCCACGGACCGTGGTGACCGGGCACATCCCCTCCACGGACCGTGGTGACCGGGCACATCCCCTCCACGGACCGTGGTGACCGGGCACATCCCCTCCACGGACCGCGGTGACCGGGCACATCCCCTCCACGGACCGCGGTGACCGGGCACATCCCCTCCACGGACCGCGGTGACCGGGCACATCCCCTCCACGGACCGCGGTGACCGGGCACATCCCCTCCACGGACCGCGGTGACCGGGCACATCCCCTCCACGGACCGCGGTGACCGGGCACATCCCCTCCACGGACCGCGGTGACCGGGCACATCCCCTCCACGGACCGCGGTGACCGGGCACATCCCCTCCACGGACCGCGGTGACCGGGCACATCCCCTCCACGGACCGCGGTGACCGGGCACATCCCCTCCACGGACCGCGGTGACCGGGCACATCCATGTTCTCCCCTACAGACATTGTGTGTTTTTTTTTTTTTTTGTTTTTTTTTTTTTTGTGTTTTGTTTTGCAGAGTCCACTATCCTAGTAGGTGTCCATGTCCACAGATATTGCAGACATAGTTGGTGTGAAGTACAGGTCATTACTAGTTTTTTTGCTGCGTGTGCTGGGAGAGCAATGCAGCGTCTATAGTACAAGCTTGTTTGTACATGAGTACAGTATGATACATACAAGATGTAGCCCTGGCTTTTGTAACAAGGCAATGTTGTTCCAGTTACACTGAATAGGCTATAAGTCCGGTAGCTTGTCCATTATGGTTCTAGCATTTTAAAATTGAACTCCAGGCAAATAAATATCATGCATAGTGTGCATGACTTTTAGCTAGGAATGTTTTGCATCTTCACTCAATTTAAACAGTTTTTTTACACACTTTACAAACATGAAAAGTTTGCCGTTCAAAGGATTTTATTCACAGGAGGCTGCTTTGCCGACTTCCTTCAAAAAGTACCAGCTGCCTGGATGTCATACTATACTGGCTTCAATATTTTGAGTTGCTAACTGGAAGATGTTTGCAGATCAGAAGCTCATACTTTGCTGCCTGCATATTCCTTCAGGTCAATTACTGAGCAATTATTAAAACCGAAGACAACCAGACAGCCAAAATTTTCAGAAGGAGGTGACTAAGAAGCCTGCATATTTCTCTCATAACATGGTATCATTTAGGTGGATGCAGACTTGGTGCATAGTGTTTCATTTTGTATCCTTGCATCAAACTTTTGTGCAAGGAAGTTCCTTCTATAAATGCTTATGGTCCTCATGAGACCCCTTGTCCTGTAATTTCCTTCTGCTAAGCATAGTTATTTGTGCTCGGAGTGGCAAATTACTAATTCAACATTAAGATTATGCAATCTCTTGAGAGAGTTGTCAATCACAATGAAGACCAGTAGATTTTTTGGCATCTTTTTTCGTACAAGCAATGTGAATTGCTTAACCTCTTCCCTACTGCGCTATAGCCGAAAGACGGCTACAGCGCGGTTGTCTAGTTCTGGGACGATGTCTATGGATGTCATTCCAGAACACGGCCCCAGTGGCTCGCACCCGGCGGCGCCGGGATATCTGTGTACACAGCTGATCATGTGATACGGTAAACGGCCAATCACAGCGGCCTTTTACCACTTGATTAGCTCTGTCCAATGACACAGCAGGTCACCAGGTAAATACAGTTGCCGGTTATCGGCTGCACTTTCCTCACACTGTCAGTGTGAGGAAAGTACTGTCGATAACCAGCAATTTCCAGAGAAGTGATCAGTGCCCAGCAGTGCCACCCACCTCTGCCCAGCAGTGCTGCCCATCAGTGCCAGCTCATTAGTGCAGCCTCATCAATGCGCATCAGTGAAGGAAAAAATGTACCTGTTTGCAAAATTTTATAATAAAACAAAACTTTTTTTTTTTTGTTTATAGCGCAGAAAATAAAACACCCAGCGGTGATTAAATACCACCAAAAGAAAGCTCTATTTGTGTGAAAAAAAATGAGAAAGATTTCATATGGATACAGTGTTGCATGACCACACAATTGTTATTCAAAGTGCAACAGTGCTGAAAGCTGAAAATTGACCTGGGCAGGAAGGGGGTATAAGTGCCCAGCAGGCAAGTGGTAAGCTGGTCACACATTATACAATTTCCTTGGTCATTTTCCGATTGCATGCAAATTGAAATTATTTAAGTTTGTTATTATATGGTTTTGGTAATTCTAAAAGAGAATTTTGCAAGAAAATTGTATAATGTATGGCCAGTCTTTAAATTTTTAGAAAATGAATAGGTTTATAAAAAATACAGTGCCTTGAAAACTTATTCATACCCCTTGAAATTTTCCGCAGTTTGTTACAACAGAAAAATGTATTTTATTGGGATTTTATGTGATAAACCAACACAGTGTGGCACATAATTGTGAAGTGGAAGGAAAATGATAAATTTCAACATTTTTTACAAATATCTGAAAAGTGTGGTGTTTATTTGTATTCAGACCACTTTAGTGTGGTACCCTTAACTAAAATCTAGTGGAACCAATTGCCTTCAGAAGTCACTTAATTGGTAAATAGAGTGTAACTTAATCTCAGTATAAATACAGCTGTCCTGTGAAGCCCTCAGAGGTTTGTTCGTGAACAAACGGCATCATGACGGCCAAGGAACACACCAGATAGGTCAAGGATAAAGTTGTGGAGAAGTTTAAAGCAGGGTTGGGTTATAAAAAAAAAAAAAAAAAAAAATATCCCAAGCTTTGAACATCTCACGGAGCACTGTTCAATCCATCATCTGAAAATGGAAAGAGTATGGCATAACTGCAAACCTACCAAGACATGGCCGTCCACCTAAACTGACAGGCCGGGCAAGGAGAGCATTAATCAGGGAAGCAGCCAAGAGGCCCATGGTAACTCTGGAGGAGCTGCAGAGATCCACAGCTCAGGTGGGAGAATCTGTTCACAGGACAACTATTAGTTGTGCATTCCACAAATCTGGACTTTATGGAAGAGTGGCAAGAAGAAAGCCACTGTTGAAAGAAAGTTATAAGAAATGCAGTTTGGGAGAAGCCATATGGGGGGACACAGCAAACATGTGTAAGAAAGCGCACATTTTTTTCATTTACTATCTCATCATAAATAGAACCATAAGCTTTGAAAGCATAAAGTGACAGTCCAAAAAATGTAACTGATAATAAAACTCCAATCCAGTATATGTTTCATTATATCCAGTAATAATCAGAACCATGCTTGACTTGTGGCCCCACTCCCTGCTCACCTTGACCATTGACCTATAAATTATAATAGGCCATAAACACACTTTATAAGGAGAATGTGTCCCCAAAATTTCTGATCCGTGACGTGTTCCTTCCGCTCTATAAACTCAAGATCCGTGCAAAATAAAACAAAAACATACCATAGTGCAACACAATTTTATATAACCAACAATTAAATGTGTTACAATATCCACTCACATTAAACAAATTATATGTTACCTACGAATTATGTTGAACATATATGCATTACTCCACGATGCTGACTATATTGTGGTGCTTCCCATCACCGGGTAGGTGCACCATGCACTCACCTTCTTCCCTGACCAGGTCATACATGCTTAGGGATGAAACCAGATTTTGCTGATCCACTGCCGATCCTTAGCAGCTACTTCATTAGTTCTGGCCCTTTAAGGGAACATGCTCTCAGATATCCAGTGGAATTAAGGTGTATATGATCAAAGATAAAGGGAATAGATCATAGTGCAACCCCATAAAATATGAAAACTTTATTCAAGTAAAAAAGGCACCCACAAAAGTAATGAAGCAAAAGCATATCGTAGGAGTCAATCAAAATGGTTCCTCATATCACTCGTGCCACTTTGAGCATGACTGGAAGTGACATCACTAGGCTCTGCCCAACATGGTACGTCACAGGTCACGTGACTGCTAAAGGGTTTTAAACCGGTGTTGCACTATGGTATGTTTTTGTTTTATTTTTCACGGGTCTGGAGTTTAATGAAACATGGTGGTGGAAGCATCATGTTGTGGGGATGCTTTTCTTCAGCAGGGACAGTGAAGCTGGTCACAGTTGATGGGAAGATGAATGGAGTCAAATACGGGGCAATATTAGAAGAAAACCTGTTAAGAGTCTGCAAAAGACTTGAGACTGGGGCGAAGGTTCACCTTCCAGCAGTGCAATGACTCTAAACATACAGCCAGAGCTACAATGGAATGGTTTAGACCAAAGCATATTCATGTGTTAAAATGGCCCAGTCAAAGTCCAGACCTAAATCCAATTGCGAATCTGTGGCAAGACTTGAAAATTGCTGTTCACAGACGCTCTCCATCCAATTTGACAGAGCTTGAGCTATTTTATAAAGAGTAATGGGCAAAAATGTCACTCTAGATGTGCAAAGCTGGTAGAGACAGCCCCAAAAATACTTGCAGCTGCAATTGCAGAGAAAGGTGGTCCTACAAAGTATTGACTCAGGGGGGCTGAATACAAATGCATGCCACACTTTTCACATATTTATTTGTAAAAATGTTGAAAACCATTTATCATTTTCCTTCCACTTTACAATTATGTGCCACTTTGTGTTGGTCTATCACATAAAATCCCAATAAAATACATTTACGTTTTGGTTGTAACATAAGAAAATGTGGAAAATTTCAAGGGGTATGAATACTTCTTCAAGGCACTGTATGTGCATAGTAATTCAATAATGATTTCCTATAGGATTGTAGTTGACTTTTCATTGAAAGAGTGACTCCACAATTGTGTATAAAAATTATATTCCACTGAGGTGTCAAACTCCGTTTCGTTGCAGACCACATC